TACCTAAAAACGATTAATTTTTACTTTTAGGGTTGTTACACGAGTAGTCAAAAAGACTTCTCAACTCATAGTGGAGAGTTTTTTTTATAATGTAAAGAGGTATGCAGCAGATTTTGAATGTATCAATGTGTTTGCTTTATGGCAGCAAAAAATTTGATCTAATTTGTGCTGCAAGTAATACTACAGAAAGAATACAAATGTAGATTCTTTTTCCTTTTCTCACTCACTTGCACGTCTTCCCTGAAAACAAAGAATTTACTCGTAAAAAACTACCATTAGTTTAGTTTATTTTTGTGTGTCTGGTTGAATAAATTTATTTTGAATTATTTATTACAAGCACACATTTAGTAAACAAATTTAAAAATTATTAATTATAGATTTGGACATATTTTCGTAAGTTTTTTACTTTTAAAGTTTTCCTATTTCCAAGTAAAATTTTAAAGATTTGCTATACCCATTAAATTTATGATAAGCTATAAAACTGATTCTTCAGACCGAACCGATTCTTTTACCGATTTGGTCGAGAAAATCGTTAAGAATTAATACATTAGTTCGGTTGAAGAAAAACATAAAATAATATTGGAAACTTTCAGGCACAAAAATGGTTCGAAACACTGAAACAAAGTAGAGAACAATTTAATCTGTCAAATAATTTCGTATTTATTGCGCATGTTTACAATTTTTATAACTCATTCCTTCCAATATTGGAAACCATATTATGATATTCTGTTATCTCAATGAATAACGTTAATATATGAATCGAAAGAAAACATACTTGGAGGAAGAAAGATAAAAAACTATTTTTATTTTTGAATACTTTTACAATCGTAAAAAAGTAAACGCAAATAGCAACAAATACAGGATACTTTGTAATAGAAACAACATATCCTTATACTCACCACCTATGTATTTAATATTTTCACATTTGATTTTTGTATTATTCTTGTTTTTATAATTATTATTTTTTTTCCAGCATAGAAATATCTTCCATTAAAACCTAATGGAATGACAAAAAAAAATATTCTTTAGTAAAGAAACAAATTAAAAGACAAAATTTTTACACCGTGTGTCTTGTAACGAAAAATTAAAAATTTTAATATAAAATTAAATAGAAATTCGAAATTTGGAACAATTGAATAATAAAAAAGTTAATTATGTAATAAAAGGATTATAAATATAAAAAAATTGTAAATATATTTTTTCATTTTCTATCAAAACAAAAAAAGTTAAGAAAATAAAATCCACCGTAATGTCTGGTAAGCAAAATCAAAATTTTTCCTTGTTATACATTGGAGTTTATATTGCATACACAAAATATAGAATTGAAATTTACAAGTTATTAAATAAAATATTAGAAAATAAAAAATTTAAAAATATAATGTATTAATATAAGGTATTTTCAAATTTTCACAATTTTTAGAGTTAATTTTAGCAAAAAATTTTAGAAATTTTAAAGGCGGGACTCTTATAAATACATTGCATAGCGCATTGTGTAAAGAAAATTCTGTATATTTTAACTTGAATTTACATTCCCGGGAAAAAATTCCATTTTTATAATGTTTATATAAATACATTTATAAATGAAAATAATTAATATGTAAATTTTATAAAGGAAAAAACATTATAATTTCTTACAAAATTTTTAGTTTTTTTATATACAAATGAAGGCTCTATAAAATACTTACATACCATATGTGACCTAAATATGCATTGATATTTAAAACTCGCATACATAATGTATATACAAGGAAGAATACAATACAAACGTGTACATTAAAGATAAATATGTGAGTTGAATAAATTTATGTTAATATTGTATATCATACGGAATTGAAAAGTGTATTGAAATTTACACCACTAAAGATCGTTCAAAGAACTTTGTAATATAAAAGGATTGTACAAAGTGGAATTTTTGTTTACTCATAATTTTCGATTAAATATACTGCGAATTGTAATACTTGCATTACATGTTCTAAAATTATTTTTATCGTTTTTAAATTTAACAATATATATTGACAGTATTGTATGTATTACACACGGTGTAATATATTAAAACAGTATTTGATTCAAAATATTTTCAATATCAAAATATACAGTGACTTACATGGTAAAAAAAGTCAGGTAAACAAAATAAAACTAACTTCAAATTTAATCTCAACGTGCAAATAATTCAAATCCTGAATTATTTAATGTAATTTAATTTAATTTAATTATTTAATTAATTTAATTATTTAATGTAAATTTTAATTACAGTAGTGCCTACCAAACCTAATTAAATTATTATGATTTGTAGTTAGAAATGTCTTTGCTTGTTACCGACCGCATTGCATATATCTCATTGTTGTATCTCATGTTCGACATAATCGATTTTCATGAAATTTTATATGTGAGTTTATTTTGGCTATATGTCAGGCTTGAATGAACATATGAACATATATATTTTTTGGAACGATCGGGACTCGAAAACCAAACTAGGGCCCGATTTTGCACTTTTATCAATAAAGTTACTTAACCTTATGCATCGATACTTTAACTTTATGCATTAAATACATAACTATAGTTATGTTAGCTTTGATTTTAAAAAGATTTTTTTTGTCTAAAAATTGTAACTCAAATGCTAAATAATGAAAATAATTAAAATATCTTGTGGTCCCCCATATATGTCCCATCTCCCCCCCTCTAGAAGTTATACCCCCCTAAAACCCTAAAAATGTAATTTTTTAACCATTTGTTGCAGTAAAACCATAGGCATATTTCAAATTTTGCAAACCCAGAAAGGCAATGGCTTGCTTCTCCAATCGCGGCATACTAAAAAAACAAAATGGCCGTTTACCGTTATCTAAAATCCGTTTTTTCAAAATTTTTGATGTCGTTTTTCTTCTAGACCCCAGGTTGTAGGTGCCTAAAATTTTTCAAGCAGATTTTAGACACTAATAAATAGTTTATTTCGTTAGAAGAAAATTTTCTTCCATTTCCACCCTTTGAGGCTTTATATTTTCGAAACCGCAAGCTTTTTCAAATTTCTATAAACGCAAAAAGCTAACGGTAGATTCTGTGATATTAAAAAATATAATTATTTTTCTTAACTCACGCAATTAATCCTTAAAATCGAGCATTATGTTAACCCCCATTCAAATTAATTTTTGCTTTATTTCAAAGACTGCATAAATCGTTCATCCTGAATGTATACAATCCTAGAAATAGTTTCATATATGAATGAAAATAATTTTAATAGTGTAGTAGGCATACATAGACTGTATTTAAAAGCAGTATTTTGACTTTTTGAAGGGAAAAGTGCTACAATACAAACCATTGGTTTGACTCAACTTTATTGATTTTTTGTATTAAATAACTATTGTTGATCATATTATTAAATATTTTGTTATAATTTATTTTGGCACTTTTTTTTTAAATAAAATTTAGTATACATAAACCGTAAGATTTTTTATTATTTATATTTTTCAAAATTTTTTTTATTTAATTATAGGTGGTAAATATTTTATTATCTAGCTCATCACTATCAGCCTCTCTATTATTTTATTAAATTTCACGTCTTTGAAATTTAATTTTTATTAAATTTCACATCTTATTTAGGAAATAAGTTTCTAGTAAAGACCTATGAAACTTATTTCCATACAAGAAAATTTTTACCCATTTCCCCCTTCTAAAAGTTATAACCTCTAAAAGTCCTAAAAATGCCATTTTTTCAGTAATTATTATGGCAAAAACCAGAAATATTTTTTGAATTCTGAAATCGCAGAAAAATAGCGGCTGGCTTTTTCTGCCTTGGCATGTCATATTTAGACTTCAAAAAACAAAATGGCCGTTAACACAAATCCGTTTTTTCTAATCTAATGCCATATCTAACAGGCCAGCCAGGCTCAGAAAGCAAATCAAAAGTAAATTCCAAATTTATATGGAATTTAAATGGAAGGGATGTCGGAATTCATTTGTGTTAAGGAAATTGATCAATATTTTTGGCTCTACTAGCTCTACATATTTTTTGAAATTTAAAATTTAAATTTAAAAAAAAAAATTGGTTGGTAAATTCTATCTGAAAATGCAGTTGAAGAAAATTCAATTTTTGGCGTTGACAATCTTATTTAAAATTTTTGAATAAGAAATTATATATGGCATTAAGAAATTGAAATTAAAAAGAAATTGAAAAAGAAAGCAAAAAAAAATAATTATAATAATCTAGATAGCTTTTCAAACCATACTAAATAAAGTGAGAGCCACAAAGAATACTCAAAGCATAAAACATTAAGAATTGTTTTTGTAATTTTTTCCGATTCCAAATTTCTGAAAATGATTTCAGCTTGGTGGCCTGATAGATATTTATACATGCCATTACCTTTTCCTTTTAGACCTCAGGTTGCAGCAGTCAGAAATTTTAGTAGCTTTGAGATATTTAAAAAAAAAGGTTCATTTTGTTAGCTTTTATAGTTTCCTATAGATATAGCCCAATACATTTTGAAGTTGTATGGCAGCTCCCCGAACCGGTAGCTTGATCATATCAAATTAAAATAGAGTTCAGGCATTTACTATGATAAATCATTTTTGAAAATTTTGTGATTTTAGCTGATATGAAAATATGAAAGTTTTATATACATACATATGTTACATAGTTTATACTCAAAGCGAAAATCACTTCAATAATATATGTAATAAATATATTGCACAGAAAGTGATGATTCAGATTATTTATACTACAATATAATTTTAATGTTAAGTTACCAACAAAAAACCCAACAAACATTTAATTAAACCATTTTTATAAGCCAGGTTCCTGTTGATCTTTTGCAACGCTAAACTTGAAGATTTGAGAGGCGAAGATATTATTTTGTCGACTGTCATTTCTAAGACTGGCCCATTGTAAAAACTGCGTTTAATTAGTTTTATAACTAATGCTGTGACCTTATAATTGAAATTAAAATAAATTTTACAGTCTCAATCTCCTTTTCATTAATTAACCATTTTATATATTAACCAATTTTCAGTTGCTAAAACTCCCTCTGTTGACCGAGAAAGGGATTATATCGGTTTTGCTACCTTACCAGAACAAGTGCACAGAAAGTCGGTAAAACGAGGCTTCGAATTCACATTAATGGTAGTTGGCGAATCTGGTCTAGGAAAATCTACACTCATCAATAGCTTATTTTTGGGTGACTTATATAAAAATCGAATTATAGCAAACGTCGAAGAACGTCTTGAAAAGACTACACGAATCGAAAAAAAAACAATGGATATTGAAGAGAAAGGTGTTCGATTAAGGTTAACTGTTGTTGATACACCGGGTTTTGGTGATGGAATAAATTGCGAAGATAGTTGGAGAGTGTGCACAGCTTATATCGATGAACAGGTCTGAACTTGAAATTAAAGATTTTTTGAATTGCAAACATTTTGTAATTGTAATTTTACATTTACATACATTCAGTTTCGCCAATATTTTACTGATGAAAGTGGACTCAATAGAAGAAACATTCAAGACAATCGTGTTCATTGTTGTTTATATTTTGTTCCTCCATATGGTCACAGGTAAAGTTTCAGATAATTATATATGCATATGTTAATAAAAAATTTTTATTTAACTCTTTATGTAAATAGTTTGAGACAAATGGATTTGGAATTAATACGAAGATTACATCGTAAGGTCAATATAGTATTAGTAATAGGCAAAGCTGATTGTCTTACAAAAAATGAAGTTAAGAAACTCAAAGAAAATGTTCTCAAAGATCTTGAAGAAAATAATATTCAACTGTATCAATTCCCTGAATGCGATTCCGATGAAGATGAAGATTTTAAACAACAAGATCGAGATCTAAAGGCAGCTATACCATTTGCTGTTGTCGGAAGTAACACAATACTTGAGGTGGCTGGTAAAAAAGTACGAGGTAGGCAATATCCTTGGGGTGTTGTGGATGTCGAAAATCCAGAACATAGTGATTTTGTGAAATTACGTAACATGCTTATCTCAACGCATATGCAAGATTTGAAAGATACCACTCAAGATGTTCATTATGAGAACTTTCGAGCTCAATGTATATCACAAATATCTCAACATGCTTTACGTGAAAGAGGTAAATTGAAACGCGACTCTGTAAGCAGTACTAATGGTAACGGTTATGATTCATCTATTTCCGAAACTGACCGTTTACTATTACAAAAAGATGAAGAAATACGTCGTATGCAAGATATGTTAACACAAATGCAAGAAAAATTAAAAGCAACTCATTTAATGGAAATGAAAAAAAACGATAGCGTCATTGATGTATAAATTACTTCAAATAATGGCATAGAAAAACTATATACATTTAGTTTTAAATTAATTATAATTATTAATACAATAACATTAATTTATTTAAATTTTTAAAAAATTTTTTAATAATGTAACTATAGTTGTATTTCAAATGAAATATGTAGATACATATATGTCTATATATGTACGAGTACCATTTATAAGCATATATCTTATGCAAATGCTTACACATAATTTTATATGTACATATGTACGAGAAAAATAAATAAAAGTATATGTATAATATACCTACATATAAAAGTACGTGCAAACATACATCATTTAACTAACTGTATAGTAATTATTTAAACTGTAAAAAATTATTTATTAAAGTCATTGAAACAAAAATAAAATCATATGATATACTTACATAATATTAACAATAACAACAAATGTTAAATTAATAATGAAATTAATGTTTAGGACATATAATACAAAATTGTTTAAAAATGCGCTAATAAATGTTTAAATTAAATTGGCAGAAAAGTATCTACTGATCTGCAAAATTTAATTAAATATAAAACAAAACGATTGTAATTAAATTCTACGCTGTTATGTAACTTTATGAAACATAACCATTAAAAATAAATTTTAATTTATTTTATAGTCGCACAAAATAAATTCCAAAATGAAAAATAAGAAAAAATTTCCAATTGTTTAGAATTTGTTTAGAAAATTCAAATTTGTTTCAGAAAATAACTATTTTTTATTTTATAGGTTCTCAGGTACTGTTTCGCAAAACAAAAAAGTGTGTTAAAAAGCTTTAACTTTATAAATTTAAAATTAAGCCTTATTTAGGCTTACTATATTTTCACAACACCAAAGAAAGTTTTTTAACAAGCAAATAACACAGATACCCATAATAATTAAGATACCCATAAATGATACAAAATGGGAAACTTCAGTGAGATATAGTACCGGCGCGACATCGTAAATATTGCAAGCTTTTTAATTTGAATACAACGAGCAAAATACTCATAGCTTCTCAATTAAGGATGGATTTTTCATATTATATTTTCGTAATCACCATTTTTAATTTTATTCTCGACAGATTTTATCAATTTAATATATTTAAAACGTAAAGCAGAAAAATTATTTAAAAAAAAAAGGATTATTTTAGCATTTTTAATTATTTCAATCCTTATGAATTTTACTAATACAACATCATAGTTGCGAATTAATAAGAATGTGCTTATTACACTACTAATTTATCTTAATGGAAATTTCTTCATGCAACTGCAGAACAGATGGGTGACGTAATCAAAGGAACGAGTTAAAGGCAGAAAAATTCATTAAAAAAATTTTTCTCCTCGAACTGGACTCGAACCAGTGACCAACCGCTTTCTAGGCGGACGCTCTACCAACTGAGCTACAGAGGCATGAAGAAATTGTCGACGAAATGTTCTCTACATTGCTTATACTGTAATTCACATGATTACTAAGTATTTGTTTTGTTTACATTGATTGCTACATACAATCTACTATTGAAACACACAATAACAAGAACATATATATTTATAGGATTGTGCCTATTCAATCCTCTTGAAAACGCCGCATGTTGTTACGTTTTTTAAAAAAGTGGCAACATACGGAATGATCGAAACGTTTTTATTTGGCGGTTGGTATGCCTTAAATTTGAGGATAACAAGAGATGACGTTATGAAACTAAAAGTTCTGAAACTTTAACAAAAGGAAAAGGAAAAAATAAAATTTGAAATATTATATTTGTCAAAAAACCGTTGGTTACAAAAATATACTATTTAAAAATATACTAAGTAGATAGCATTAAATATATTTATTAATATAATTTAATTATTTAGCATATATTCTAATGCCAGATACATATATCTATCAGGCCTCCAAGCTGAAAATATTTTCTGAAATTTTGAAATATGCCAATTGAAGGATCTTTTTATTTTTTTTGTGAAATTTTTGAGTATTCTTCATCTGGATTATAACTATTATTTTTTTGCTTCTTTCTTCAATTTCTTTGAAAATTCTATTTTTTATTCAAAAATTTTATTCTGTAAGTAACCTTCCATTTGAAAGACAAGAAATGTTGTCAGCGTTAAAAATTGCAATCCTTTTTTTTTTTAATGCATTTTTCAGATTGAATTTACCAACCGATTATTTTGAAATTTAAATTTTAAATTTAAAAAAATATGAAGAATCAGCAGAGCCAGAAATATTGATCAATTTTCTTCACACAAATAAATTCTGACATCCCTTCCATTTAAATTCCATATAAATTTGGAATTTATTTTTGATTTGCTCTCTGAGCTTGATGGCCTGTAGATACGATATATATGGCATTATATGTACGTATAAATTTTTAAAGTTTGAAAATATATTGAATTTCCAAATATTAGAATTTTTTAGGATTTTAACAGTTTTATGCAAAAATAATGATGTTCTACACCAATAAAACTAACATGTACATATTTTGATCATTTTTGTGGTTCTGATATATAATTAAAAATTTATGAAACATTTTAGGTTGAATCATGGATTTAATAATACATGGATAGCTAGCGCTAATATATTTCTTAATAAAAAAATTAAACCAACATAAAGTACACTTTTGTATAAAACATTGCTCCTTTAGGTCAAACTAACAATGTCAAATTTTATGTTTTAGCAAATTTTGCATTACCATAAAATCAGCTTCAGCACTAGAGCAATTTTTTAAAAATATTAACATTTTTAGCAAGAGATATATATATACATATCTATATTTCGAATTTTTAACATAAATTTAAAAATAATAAAAAATTTTTTAAAGTACTGTAACAACTCTTGTTGTTCAAATATAGCAATTTTCTTTTGCAAACAGCAAAATAAAACTCCAAAATTTATTTATATAAAAATATTATTAGGTATTTTTAGATGCAAATGACCTAAAACATAAAAGGACGGCGGAAATTTTTTTCCTTCATATAAACTATGTACATTTTTTTTAAATTCATAAAAGGAAAATTATAGTTGCTCTCTGTACGTGGTGGTCTTATACTTACAAGGGCAGTGTTAAGAAATTTTTGAGGTTATCTATTGTTGTAGACATATTTAAATTCTCCTTTAATACTATGTACAAAAAACTTATAACTGTACAGGTAGAAAATAATTTCTTAATGGCAACTACTTGTATGCTCTAAATACAAAATTGTATTAGATGGAATGGTTCTACAACGAAAGTAAATTTAGCTGCCCAAACTCCAAGTTCTAGTTTATCCTCTGTTCTTTTATTTTTACAAAAAAAATTAAATAAGTAATAAAAACAACAATTACACAGAACTACAGAATTTTTTGATGAAGTGGGGATATTTTAAGTTAAGAGATTTTAAGTAGCCCTCAACGCTTAAAATATTTATCGATGTATTAAGAAACTGGATTTTCAAATGTTAGAAGTATGGGAGGCTCGAATAATAATCCAAATGCAAAAAATTTTCAGTACGCACATAAAAAAAAATTTTAATGTGATCAGTACATAACCGACCTCATTGTATATTGTCTAGTTAAGTGAAAGTGTTACGGAATATTATAAAAATGTCTGTTAAATACTTCTTTCTAATTTTTAGGGAATTAGTAAGCTTACATTTAACATACCTAGAAAAATGTAAATTTGGCTCTTAGTAGAGTTTCGCTTTGTGCTACCCGAATTCCCTGAAATGCTCGCCAGTTATTTTCGGTAACAATCAGAACTCAAATATCAAATTTCAAGAGATTCCATACATTCGTTCCGTAGATATGGTGAAAAATGTAAAAAACGGCCCGCAAATCAGTTTTCGAGCCCTGATCTTTCCAAAAAATGTATATGTTCATTGTTTTAATACGAGGAATTTGAATATTAAATTTCAGTGAAATCGGTTGATTATTTCTCTTTATATACACGAAAATGTATATTTGGCCCGTAGTAAAATTCCAGTTGCTGGTGCCTGATTTCTTCCAAAACTTAGGAATTTTTGCGGACGGTCGAGCAAAGCTTATATATGAAATTTCAAAAAAATCGGTTGAATATTTTCTTCAAAGTGGTCAAAAATGTAGTAAAGTGGTAAAAAGTGCAGTTCCCGAAGCCTGCTATGTCCCAGAAGTTGATCAATCCGTACCATGGTCGAAATAAACTTGCATATAAAATTTCATTAAAATCAGTACAGCAGAACTTGAGACACAGACACAAACACGCGTGCACACACAGACCGACAGGGTGCTAAAAATAGTTTATTTACACTTCCCCACTATGGAGAAGTGCATTCCCACCAAAAACTCGATATGCAAAATTTGTTGCCATCACATAACCTACCTATTGTATACAATACGCAATACGGTCGGTAATAATTAGTCAAAATGAAATCAAAATATCTTTATATACAAATTCTTTACGACTGGATTCAACCTGTCAAACATTAAGTATCAATTCACGTAACGCTTATTGTGATTTATTAAATATTAAGAATACTAGGTCAGAATATGGCAAAAATGGCGAAATTAGTGATTTTCAAGAAATTTTGAAACATAATCCAATTTTTTCTTCAATTAACAACGACTTTTCAGAATATGATTCAAACATAATTGAATATATTGCAGGCTTTATTCAAAGAACATTTTTAGTGAAAATTAAAAGTAGTGAATGTTCAAATAAAATAAAAAATTTTTAAAAAGCTGAGTCAAATTTACTTATTGCTATAAAAAATTCTAAAAATTGTCACATAAAGATAATGTGAGTATTTCAAAAATGGCAGAAAAGGCTTCTAATTTGGTCACCAAAAGAATTCATCCATCGAATAAGAATTTCCACTTCAAAATTTTGCAAAATATTTTATAAATTATAAGAAATGATGTCTCTAATAATTCATACGTTCATGATTTGGAAAATCATATTTTAGATAGCCACAGATTAAGTTAAATAAGTAGAATAGCATCTGAATATATAAAAATTAGACTTTATCATGAAGGAAAACGCTTAACATCTAACAAAAATGATTTGGTTTTCCGGTCAATAATTTGATGTAATACTCGTATACAGAAATTTTAAGTAAGCATAATTTGTTTTAATTTTGAATTAACAAATCGTCTGCTGAGAAATGAAACAGTGTATAAAAAATGTATAGTTTTGAGTAAATCGCATGTAAAACTTTTTAAAAATTTAAAGTTAAGTTTTGGTCTTCAAACTGCAAGAAGCTTTTCAAATAAGTAATTATAAGAAACCACGCAATATTTTTTCAGATTTTAATGAAACATTTTCATTTAGTGGATTTATAGGTTTGCATAGGTCTTGATAAATTTATGTTTTGAAATTTGAGGGTGCCATTAATTTCATTTTGTTTATATTGTATAATAATTTTATTTTTATTCAAACACTGTTTTAATTTTAACCAAAAATACTTTTAATATTCATTTCGATAAATAAAACCTTTTTTATTAAATGTATTA